AGAGAGAGAGAGAGAGAGAGAGAGAGAGAGAGAGAGAGAGAGAGAGAGAGAGAGAGAGAGAGAGAGAGAGCCAATTATCAGTCCAGGCGATAACCTTTTCTCCGTTTCCTATCGCCGAGCCTAGATTATTTTTCAGAAGGTCTCTGTTGATTAGAATGCCCCTCCAGCCAAGTGAGCAGTTTGCTGGTTGTGAGACTTGGAGGAAGTCCTGATCCGGGAAATACTTGCCTTTTAGTACACGATCTAGTAGGTATGATGGTTAGTCCAGTATACGCCAGCTGAGATTAGCTAGGAGTGCGTCATTGAAGCATTGTATATCTCTAAATCCCAGACCTCCCTCTTTTTTCCTTTTGTCATTGTGTCCCAAGAAACCCATGACATTTTACGAGCTCATGTGTTTGAATCCCAATAGAATCTAGTTAGCGCTGACTGTATTCTCTTACACAGTGAGAGAGGCAGTTTAAAAATATTGCATTGTGTGGTTGGGAATGGCCGATAAAACATTCTTCAGGAGAGCCATTTTCCCCGCGGTGGAGAGAAATCTTGTGTTCCAAGCTTTAGCTTTTTGTCTAATTTAATCCACAATGGATGTGAAGAGATCTTGTTTCTTGCGTCCAAAGTGTTCAGGGACCCCTAGATATTTCCCATAACCTCCTTCTAATTGGATACCAAGTGCAGCTTTGATCTTATCCTTAAGCTCGGAAGGCGCTCTATTGGAGAAGGTGATACCAGACTTCTGCTGATTAATTTTCTGACCCGAAGCCTTCTCGTATTGATAGAGAATATGTTGCAAGGTAAAGACGATTTTGGTGTTTGTTCTGCAAAAGAAGAGGGTATCGTCTGCGAATAGAAGATGGTTCACTCTTGGGATTTGAGTGGCCACACGGATTCCTAACATCTTTTTATCTTCTTGCGCTTTACGGCAGAGGCCAGAGATAACTTCACCACAGAGAATGAAGATATAGGGTGAAAGTGGATCTCCTTGCCTAATGCCTCTTTGTGGCTTCACCCAACCCATAGCTGACTCATTGATTAGAAACGAATAGGAGACTGTTTTCACACACTGCATGATCCAGTTAATCCACACGGAATGAAAGCCAAAGTGAATCATAACTTCCTCAATAAAATCTCATTCCAAGCTATTATATGTCTTACTCATGTCAGTTTTTACTGCCATTGAGCATCACTTTGATGTTGTAGATGTCTTTAAATAATGTAAGAATTCGTGTGAGATTAGGATGTTGTCCGAGATGGATCTATCTTGAACAAAAGCGGATTGGTTTTCAGATATCAGATCCGGTAGAACTTTCTTGAGTCTGTTGCCTAGCAGATTAGAGATTATTTTGTAGTAGGTGTTGCATAGCGCAATTGGTCTATAATCTGCAACTGTTTGGGCCCCAATGATCTTAGGCATTAATCGGACATAAGTATGGTTTAAAGACCTCGGCATGACACCGGAAGTGAAGAAGGTTTGGACCTCAGAGAATATGTCTGGGCATACAGTACTCTAGTTAGCTTGGAAGAAACTTGCTGAGAAACCATCCAGACCGGGAGCCTTGTCCGGATGGATAGCAAGTAAAGCCAAGTAGATTTCAGATGAAGTTGGAATGGAGATGAGTTCTTGATTAGTCTCTGATGATATCTTGCTGTTAGAGTTTCAGGAACTATTTGTCTCCTCTCACCAGGGACATATTTAAATAGCTTCTTGAAATAATCAACTATAGTTCCTGCAATCTCTTCCTCTGTAAAGATTGGTATGCCTGCTGCATTTTCCATGAGGCAAAATTATTTTTTGCTTTCCTCCCCTTAGTGACAGCATGAAAGTATCCTGAATTTCGATCTCCTAAGCTTAGCCATAGATTTTTGCTCCTTAGCTTTCAGAAAGTTTCTTCCGCAAGGTAAGCTGGTTTTAGGTCTGAATTGATCCTGGTTAAGAGAGCTTCATCATTTGTAGTGCTTGTCATTGCTTGCTCAAGTTCTTCTTTCCACTTATTGATTAGGATTTTGCTGTTTCTTTGTTGATTTTTGCTTCATCGTATTATTGCTGATCTGACCATTGAGATTTTTGCTTGAACTGAACAATGTTTAGCTCGTTTCCACATATGTGAAACTAGGTCTTTAATCTCACGGTTATCCTTTAATCTTCGATCTAATCTTAAGAGACCTTTTCCTCGTTTTTTGTTCAGGTCAAAGCATGTCAAGATTGGCTTGTTTTCGGAGCCTTCGTAATTCAGGTACTCAGCACATCCTGAATGGAAGATATCAAACCAGTGATTATTAGCTATGGATCGATCGAGTCTGCATCTAACCACATCAATTTCATTATCTTCATTTCATCTGACTCCTCTTCAAGATAAATAATCACCAGTGTGAGGGAGATCAAATAAATCACACTCTACCATAAAGGTTCGTATATCAAAGAAAGATGATTATGTTCTGGTTCGGCCTCCTAGTTTTTCTTGGTTGTTGAGGATGTCCTTAAAGTCTCCAGAGACAAACCAGGGGGAGTCTCTAGAGATTGCATGCGCAGTCAGATCAGCCCATATTTGTCTTCTTACCAAATAATCTGTGTCTGCATAAAGAAAGGTAGAATAGAATCTTTTATTTTCATACATAACCTCAGTGTCCATGTAGTGTTTACACGAAGTTAAGACATCTAACTTCACTTTTTGATTCCAGAATATAGCTAAGCCCCCAGCACCATGGCATGTGGGTGGTACCAAATACGAGTTTGGGCAATCCAACGAGGAACATTTTCGGAGGAAAAAGTCGTTGGGATTCTTGGTATCCGAGAGGAATATGATGTCAGGAGAGAAGCGCTTATGTAACTCTCTAAGGCGCTGGACTGTCTGGGAATTCCCCAACCCATGACAGTTCCAGCTCACAATTCTTAAGGAATTGGAGCGGGCAGATTCTGAAAATCCACTCACCACCGCTGGAACGATCCCAGAACAAGGTTGGCTTGTTGCTGCCGTGCTGTGTGATCATGTAGAGGGTGCTTGTTGCAGAGTTGAGTCCCTGTTGGCTCTAGTTCCTCTTGTAGAGGATGATGGTTCATTGCATCTTTTTGGAGAGATGTGAATCGGAGGGGTTCTTTTTTTCTTCACCCCTGCTCCCTTTTTTGTTTGGACTCCTAATGGTTTGTTTAGGTTATTTGCAAGTGGGGGCCTTCCCAATCTCTTTTTCACAGGGACTCTAGTAGGATCACTACTTGTAAAAGCCAGATTAGGTTCAATTTGTGGGCCAAGCCGGTTCAGAGCAGGGATTCTTGCATTACTATTTTCAGTAGCCTCATTATGGTGATCACCATATTAATATCGACATCAATGCCTTCTTCTGCATTTAAGCTAGCCTCATTAATTGACATATTAGCTGCAACCTTATTTCTAGCAACATCCTCTTCTTCTCCTTCTTCTGCATCTACTCTAATTCTTTCTTGTCTTGCAGCTCTCTCCATTGGATTAGCGCAATTAACATATTGGTTTAGATCTTTCCTTATTTCTCAACGAGCCACATCAAGAGCTTCATTGTAGATGGTGGTCAAAGGAGGGTGGTGTTCAGCATCTCTGATGTTGGTGGTCCTCAAAGGTAGCGTAGTTCCACTGTCTCTGTCATGATCATTAGTGTAGATAACAGAGCCTTTGTTTTCAGCATTCAAACAATATTCTCTGTCTTTGTTGGTTGTAGGAGGTCCATCGCGATGCTGAGAGTATTCGGAGTGGGATACATTTCTTGTCGGGGCTACCCAACGTGCTTCCTCATTATGGAGGTTCATTCTTTGGCGTGAGTTAACTGAGTGGTGAGAGTAGGAAGCCTCTTGATCAAAGTGAAGGGTGCTTCTATGTGATCTCTTGCAATCTTCTCGGTATGACATACCCTGGTTGTGGTTATCAGAAGGGGTTCTGTATTGGTGGTATTTACTCCTCTGTGCATCTCTCATGAAACCTGAGCTCAGGCGTGGACCAGGATCATTGTTCCTTATGGTAGCAGGGTAGGTTCGTTGGGAATTTCTACTAACTTCTTTCTCTTCAGGGACACTTTTGAGATGCTTAGCAGCATTGTTTGATTGTTGTGGTTTGTTCCTGGAACAGTCATCCTTCTCATGATCTAACATTCCATAAATTTTGCAGTGCTTTTCTAGCTTCTCATATCGAAAGGTAGCTATGATTTCATCGCCATTTGTGAATTCTAAAGTTGACTAGAATAGTAGAGGACATAGGCCATTAATGGTGGCACTGAGTTTTGCCTTTGATGATGTTATTTCCCATTCCTCAAAGTGTCCCAAATCTTCTTCTATTCCTCTCAATATGGTTTCATTCCAAAGATGGACAGGTGTCAAAGTGTCCCTTTTTCACCGTGTGAGAGATGGCGAGACATGATAAGTTCATAAGGGTGAGGAACTTCTTGAGTAATTTTCAACACATAACGTGAGAGGGTGCTGAGAGTAAATACTCTTGAAATAGGAGAAACTTCAAGTTCGAATTGTAGTCTTCAAAATCTGTGAACAGTTCAATACTAATAAAGAGAGGGACTAGCAAGAGTTTGGTTAGGATTAAAGAAAGTGGAAACCATTGAGGAAGGTCTTACCGGAACCGTAGCGGCGAAGGAGGCGGCCCTCCGACAAGAGTCGGGGGAGAACCCGGTGAGTTTAGACCAAGGAATGCTAATATCCAGTGGTTACTTACATAAGGGGTAATAATTTGAATTTGAGGATAGGATTTTGCAGTGTATCAGTGATAAGGGAAGGAAATAACCGATAGATAATAGAGGGAACAGCACAAAGTCAACTTTCTTGATACATGTGTCTGGGAGAGAAGCTGTGACCACGAAAGTAAATGCAAATGGTTTCTTCTTCCATTTACATTTACAATTTACAAGCCCTTTGAGCTTAAAAACGGAAGAACATTATTGTTTTATTTGAAATAAAACATATTTTAATCATGAACAAAGAAAATATAACTGAAAGTTTTTTGTTTGTTTGTTCTAAATGAAAAAAGAAAAGAAAAATAAAGGGTATTACTGGAGGATATACAACAATCTACTCATTGCTCATGAAATTCAACAATATTTATGTACTTAATATAAATGTTATAAATGTTAGTTACCTTAGAACTTCGGTTGTGCCATACGCAACTCGTTGTTGGTAAAATAAACCTTCACCAGAACCAAGCTCGTCATACATGCCATCGGCCAAGTCAGCAGCTTCAATGGAGGATACAAATGGGTTTGATGACGAAGAGGTACGCACAAAACAAACGGTTGTCTCTCCGCTGGCCGGGGAAAATATCAGCTCCAAAGTGTAAGGTAATGCCGATGGTATCGATATTGTACGCCGGTGTTTCCCTTCGAACACTACGCTAAAAGTTGGGGGTGAAAACTTCCCGTCGTAGTTCCCATAGTAAAACATCGTTCGCAATAAGACTTTTCCGCCTTTTGTTACCGGAATGTTATAGCAGTTGGATTCGCCGGTGGGGAAGTATCGAAGTGTGGTGAGGGATTTCTCGACGGTCGTGGAGGAAACTGTGGCTGACTCTCCGGATTCGATGAAGTCTTTGTCCCCGACCCATTTTATGCTGTTGTCGTCTATGCCCGATAATGACGTTCCGCAGTCTATGTTTACACCTGAGATTTATCATGCATACATGAATCATGATGATGATGACTGATGAGAATCATTACTAAAAATAGATTTATTTATCCAACTTTGAGTTTGATTGACGAGCATTAAACTAAGCATTATGCTCTCTGTTATCCAATTAACATTTACCAGAGATTAGCATGTTGAAAAATATTTACAAGATTGTTAATATTCAAGGTTGCATGGAACCGGAAACAGATACATCGAAACGAAACGTTTTGAAACGTGGAAACATGATTTTCAGAAAAAAAAATAGAAATGAAAACGTTTTAGAAACGTCTATAATATATATGTATGATTAATCAACATGTAAACTTGTTTTTTATTGTTTGCTTTATCTAAGAGAAAAATTTAAGTAAATAAATATTTTTTGTACATTTTAATAAAATTATAATCAATAACTAGAAAAGTTACACATGTTCTCGTTATCGTTCGATAAAACTATAGAGCGACTTCATTCCAAATCAAATCATTATACTAAAATGATAACAAATATCAAAAGATAATATTAAAATAATAAACATGTAATCTCTAACATCAAATGCCAAATAGTTATTTTTTTTGCATTTCTAATTAGAATAGCGAGTTTCCAAATTAGAATCGCGAGTTTTCAAATCAAAACACAAGTTTCCATCGTGCTTCCAAAATAAAATTTTCAAGAAACGTGTTTCCAGAGAGTTTTCTCGAGTTTCTAAGAGATTCCGATTCTGAAACGTTTTCTAAACAGGAAACGGACCTTGAACGGAGTTTCCATGCAACCTGGGTCTTTATAGATCCGTGTGACCACAAAAGCCTTTTGTAAACGTTTACCGTAACATATACAAAATACTGTCATTGAAATAAAACATGAAAAGGACCCTTAATTGTGGATTATTCCAGACCAAGGTGTTCAAATTAATGACTAAATTCAAGACTTTTTGTTGCTACTAAACTAACCTGGTTGGGTTCTAAGAAAGAACTTACAATACGTAAGATTGAAAAACTATTTACTTACAGATAAACAAGAGATTAGTTACAAGTTAGTACATAATTTACTTACTCGCTTGAGAGAGGGTTATGATGGAAAGAAAAAAGAGAAGAAAAAGCGAATCAGAAGCCATGGCGAGAGCTAATTTTCCAACTAATGCTCTATACAACATCTATGCACGCACCTTTTTATATATGTTATACTTGCAGAATTGAGCTGTCTATCAGTATCTTAAATCCAAGTTGGAACATGAAAACATTTGAAAGTTTTGACAATTTTATTTTCCAGCTGGGAAATAATAAGTTAACCGGCAAGTACAGGATATTAATTCCTACATTATATGCATTTAATCTTGACCTTTTCAAACTCATGCCACAATGTCAGGAATATGAATTGTTATTGTTTCTTGAGAAAATTGGCTAATCAGGTCAATTTGGGGATGGGTTTGTCACCTTATACCTTTGCCCATTTTACTTTTGTCTAAATATACCTTTACCCAATTAAATACAAAATTAACCCTATATTTATTAAATTTTTTTTTTTTTAAAAACCTTAAGTCATCTCCTCGTTCTCCGACAAACGAAGGAGAGAAACCAAGCAGGAGGTTCTCTCTCTCTCTCCGACCTCTCTTCGGCCTCTCTCCGGCCTCTCTCCGGCAAAGTCCGGCCTCTCTCCCACGAAGCTCTATCTCCGACCCGTGTCTCCTCTCTCCGACGAAGCACCGTCTCGGACCCGTCTCCTCTCCCCGACGAATCCTCTTTCTGATTTCGGATTTCAACTTGAGTAAGTGTTTGCTTCAAGTGTTCTTCTTCTCCTACGTTTTGGGATTTAACATGCATTGAATAATTCTTTGATTATGAGGAATGTGATTCAAAGTCATATTGAATTCATTAGGAACTCAAAAGTCGCAACTTTTTGTTATTAAGCCTATAACTTGTTTTCTTTGTTTCATAGGTCAATAAAAGAAAGAAGATTGGACACTCTAGGGAATTCGGTTCACTCAAATTATCAAACACAGTTTTGTCTTCCTCTTGGTGAAGGTATATATGAATGTTATTGTTTTACTTGAGCTCGTTTTGGTTGTTTATTGTACTTGAGCTTGTCTTGGTTGGTTATTGTTTTTACTTGAGCTCGACTTTGATTCTTTAAGTTGTAAAGTATTAATCTATTTTTCTTATTTTTTGTTTGCTTGCAGGTTATGGATTATGAGCTTCCAAAACAATTGAAAACAGCTTTCATAAATGAGGAACAAGATGAGGCGGGTGTGGAGATGGAGAATGAAGACTTGAAAGTGACTTGAGTTAGAAGGCTCCTCATTCAGATCGAAATTGTTGTTTCGCTTCCCAACCATACCCGTAAATGACACACACAAGTAGATGGATGAATTTTTCTTCCTATATCCAATAAAACTGCAAACTTGGCGATCATTGGAAATAACAACTGGTGGAATTCCTAAATTACTCATCAAAGAACTTGGAAAATAACTCAACTCAGCGCTAACAATCTTCTCGTCCATTCCAAAATCCTCCAAAACCATCATCTTCAATTTCTCTACTGTAGTACTTGCTTCCAACGAGAGTAATCTGCCTTTTTTCCTTATCAACAATGAACTTACACTCATTATTCACATCCCATCTCCAAACACCACATGAAACATAGATGAGAACCATTTGATTTGATAAAGAAGAAATAGAGAAGAAGAAAAAAGGAAGAAGATCGTTGAATCAAACAAGGGATGAATTCAACGCAATTCCCCTGTAAATTTTCGACCAAAGATAAACTTGAATAAAGGGTAGTTACTGATTTTTCCTAAATTTTCGCATAAAATAACTGAAAATATAGAATACATATTCTAAACGGGATAGAACACTGATAGAAGGTTATACTATTAATTCTAACTACTTAGAACATATGATAGAGTAAGAACACGACGTTCTATCTACGATATATTATAGAATAGATGATAGAACATATATTCTATAGTTGAAATAATAAAGAGTCTTGGTTAGAACGTAAACATTCGTATTCTATATTAGTTAGATCATAGACAAAGGGTTACAACATATATTGTATGTTTAAAATAATAAAGTGTCTTGGTTACAACATATATTGTATGTTTGAAATAATAAAGTGTCTTGGTTAGAACGTGGACCTACGTCTTCTATATTAGCTATATCATAGACATATGGTTACAATATAAATACTAAATTTGATAAAACGTTAAACACAAGTTAGAATGTGTATTTTAGCTTCGTAAAAACAGTTATAATATACATTCTTACAAATCTAGATCAACACATCCAAAGTGTATTTGAAGTTTATTTTTTTTTTTAGCAAAACCTATAAAATATTCTTATGATTATAATGATTTTTCATATTTTTTTGAGCTTTGTATCATTTTTAATAATTATTTCTATTATTATGAGGGTATTTATGTCAAAAACTGACTAATTATTGTGAAGGTATAAAAGGACAAAAACATTTCTATTATGGCCTATTTTTCCAATTTCCCCTTGTTTCTTTTAGTAATCAATTTTAGGATTTCAGTTCCCCCTCCCCATGTTTTTTTTTCGACCGATCAAATAGTCATTTCGTGGTTGTCGATATATTTAATTCTTATCATATAATGTGACCGGCATGTTAGTCCCTTTTATCAGCTAGTTGCAGATTAATTAGTGTATCGAATAATTCCTAATTACAATACAATACTTGTAGCAAACTCGTTTTTAACTTTTGACACTGATACAGTTATATAGTACACAATTTGAGGTTTTATTTGACACAAAGAAATAAACAATAACAACTTGACCGCTTTGTAATCTTCCTTGGTTTGACGCTAATGTGAGCAGCAAGACGCAAGACAATAATCCACATGATCAGAGAAAGTAAGCTAGACGCAAGACAATAATCCACCTGATCAGGGAAAGTAAGCTTTTGCTTTTTTTTACACCTCTCTAATCGAATACTTTTTTGAACCACATTTGTTTCAGCTCCATATAAGAGAACAAGTGTTTCTGCACTTGGAGAAATAATTCATTCGTAGAGAAAATCTTCTTTTTGACCATTTCTCGAATTTTGCTGTCTCATCTTTCCATAGGGACCATGTTAATATTTTATGTATCGTTCTAATTTTATCAGATATTGTAATGATATATGGGCTCAATACCAAATCAGTTTACCTCTGGCCCAACGAAAACCCAACACGAAAAAATATCTAGCAAGGAATAATTTCTTTTTCTTCTCCTAATGTCGGCTACGCAAATTCACGAGACTTATAAGAAAAGGAAAATATGCAAAAACTAATGGGATTAGGAAAGGCAATAGATTTTAGTATAAATAGAGGTGCATACACAAGGAATAGATCATCCGATCAAGAAAGAGAAATAAGAGCAATAGGAAAAATAAAGAGAGACCAAGAGAGATTAGCAATTAAGATAGGTTTTGCTTGTGGTTATTACTTGTGATCTTTATTTTGTTCTTGTGAAAGATTATTCCTTTGACAGTGAATAAGAGATAAGTTTTTGGCATCAAGTTTATTCCAAGTTCTATAGCACAACTTAGGTTTAAATTCTAACAAGTGGTATCAAAGCTATCCAGGTTTGATTGGAAGTGTTAGTTAGAATTATGGAACCAACTCTAGGAAAGTTTGAGATTGAGAAATTTGATGGCAAAGATGATTTTGGGATGTGGAAGTACAAGATGATGGGACAGCTTGAGATCCAAGGTTTACTTCCGTTCTTAAGGAAGACTTTTTGGTCTTGACACAATCTGGAAAAGAAGTAGAAATCGGATGCAAAGGTTGATCCAAAGAAGGCTGATAAAGATCTCAAGTAAGAAGTCTCTTGAGAACGTCTTTGAGTGATTCTATTCTAAGGAACGCCCTAGAAAAGAATTATCAAACGAAATCTCTTCCAATAGAATCTATTTGAAAACAATTCTCTTGCTACAAAATGAACGAGGACAAGACGATATAAGAAAACGTTGAAATCTTTCTGAAACTTATTGCAGACTTGGAGAGTCTCAAAATTACCATATCAGATGAAGATCAAGCAATTCAACTATTGTTGGCACTTCCAGAAGCGTATGAACAATTGGTTCACACACTCCAGTATGGAACTGGGAAATAAACGCTTACCGTAAACGAAGTTGTAACTTCAGCTTATTCCATAGAAGCGGAACTTAAGCAGAAAGGATTACTTAACAGAAACAAACCAGATTCGGAAGGTTTGTATGTTGAGTCACGTGGAAAAACTCAGAAGAGGTCAGGGAACGGTAATGTAAACTCCAATAACTGGAGAGGAAGATCAAAAAGCAAGGGAAAGATTCAGTCGAACCAGCGATTTGATGAGAACATGTTTTTTTTATTTGTGGAAAAGAAGACCATTGGAAGAGGGAATGTCTTGAAAGAAGGAGACGTCCAAATTCTGAAAATTTTATGACAAAGAATGGATCATGGATTCATGTTGTTCATTCCATAGTACATACGACAAAGAAGTCTTGTTTGATTTCAAATAGTACGACGGGGGAAGTGTATTAATGGCTAACAACACTAAAGGTAGCATCAATGTAACAGGGAAGGTTCAGATTCAGAATCAGAATCAAGATGGTTCTAAAGTGTTACTCAAGGATGTTAAATACATGCCAGTGAGTAGGAATCTGATTTCTTATGGGATGCTAGAGAAATCAGGTTGCAAGTACGTAGGACGCGGCTTCAAGGTTCAATTCTACAAAGCTAAGAAGAAAGTAATTTCAAGAAGATACAAAGACGGGTTATACTTTACTCAAGGAATGGTTGTGAAGAATAAAGTGAATACTCTAAAAGCTGAGAATGAATTGAAACGAAAAAAGTTAAAGGTGTCTTTCAGTGAGAATCTGATTCAGGGACCAAGTGTTTATGGTTTTACGACAAAAGGCCATCAGCTCGAGGTTGAGACTCTTTTTCAATAGAAAAATACAAGTCAAGTAAAGAAGTTGAGAATGAGCATGCTCTAGATGATTGTTGTCTTTTAAAGGATGAAGAAAAGAGTAATGATAAACCATCATCAAAGGAGAATCAAAGACTTGGTGAATTTAAGAAAGATTCAGAGGTTTGCATTGAAAGTTTTTCAAACTCAGATTATGCTACAAGCTTAGATGAGGATGCATCAACAACAG